GCCACGGACTCTAGATCCACGGCGCGAGTGTTGACGGACAACTTGTTCGTCGAGAAAGCCTCAGGCCTCACGGACGCTGAAGTGCGTCAGGCAGTAAAGACGTGGCTTAGTGTAGAGGACGACCCAGAGGTGTTGGAGGAAGAAATAGCAATGGAACTGCAGGCTGTAGACGAGCAACTGGCCGGCGTAACCCTCGATGACGATGTACCCAGCGAAGAGGAAGACGACGACGGTAGGTCAGAGTCGTGCGTGACAACGTCGCTTACAGAGGCCGACGTCCGCTTTCGCCTCGAGGAGTGCCGCTCCTTTTTGAATGCGAAAGGGAAGGACGGCGAGTACAGCGAAACGCTGTACCTTCTTTCGAGGACTGTGCATTCGTTCACTCACGAAACTCAAGTCAACCGAAGAGCGAAGCAGGGGGGTGAGGTGCAGGCCACTCTTGGCGATATGTGGGGGCGATAGTTTTTTTTTTCGGAGGGCATACAGCGATGGGCTCTTTTTTTTTATTGCTTCATCTTCACCGATAATTTAGCGTTGATGTCCATCTGAGTTTCGTGTGTAGGGTGTTTGTGTCTCTATCGCTTAGGATATACTGAAGTATCGTGTCAAAGTTGGAACCGCTGTGGTGAAGGATGTGTCGGTGAGGTTTTCAACATCAGGAAAACGAGAAGAAAATAAAAACAACACAGCAGGCAGCAGTCGCCACACAACCGAGAGAGTGCACTGCAGTCATAACAAAACTATATCCCGCAACAACCCACATGTCGGGAGCATATTATTGCGGGCGGTGGCGCGGTAACTTAAAACATGGTTTATAATATATAAATATATATATATATAGTGCATTCCACTTTCAACCACGGCTACGTTGTGAGCGGTCAGATTTATGGATCCTCGTTTCGATATAAGTTACGTGTTGCAACGGCGCGTTTTTTGATGTATGTTATGCCTCCATCGGCCCCGGGGGTGGTGCGTTATCGTCCCCGGAATCTTAAAGACGATTCCCCGCGTTAAAGACGCTTTGAAAAAAAACGCTATGCGTCTTTAAAGCGGGGACGACTGTAGTGTGTACAGGCACTGCAGGTGTGTTCCTCTCTACTGCTACCACAGAACAGTTCATATTGTTTTCCTGGTCGGTCGTGGAATAGTGCGTTTTGCGGTGGACTGCTGGAATTTTGGTTGTTGTTTAAAGCGACAATTCTTCCGCTTGCTAATCAAGATCACCACCAAATGCGCCCATCATCCTTTTGTCGAATAGCATATTATCAGGTCCCAACGACGGCAGCACTAGAGCTTCAATAGGTGATGTGATTTCTCCTAGTGTCAGTTCAAATCGAGTGTACCCTTAATTTTTTGGGGCGAACCATCGGCGCTGCGCAGATTGATTGCTCCCGAGGGTACTGGAAATATTTCCGTGTTTTTCAACGTTTTGTGACTTCTCATGAACTTCCGTAATATGCATGGTATGTCACACGCCATGTCGATTGTTATTTCGTCAACCGATTCATTGTTTATTCTGGCGGGTACACGTACTCGCTTGGATGTCGATCGCAAAACCGATGGACACACGGGGTATCCAGCGAGTGCGGACATGAAAAAGTATGAAATTCTTCATTACGGTCAGTTCTCATTAGGTTAGACGTATGTTTCGACCTGAAGTCCCCAGCAACGGTAGCTACGTGCAAGGCTTGCGGCGCTAAACAGGCGGCTGCTTGCCTTACTTGGGTGCTATCCCCTAGTGCTGGACCTACAGCGGCTACTGCATCAGTTGTACGGGTACTTGACTTCGGGACTCCTCGCGTTTGCTTGCTGCTACAACCTTCGCGAGAATGTTCTCGTGGTACATGTACTTCAACTGTCCTTCTACAGCGCTGCTCTTTGACTGCTTTTCTTGTTATTCCCACCAGAGATCGTCACCATTGTTACAGTGTTTTGAATCCCTCTCATCTACTCTGCCTCTCTTCTGTTTGCTCGTGTTTTGCGGTCTATCCCAGTTTGTACGTGCTGTTTTGGCAGAACCAAATGATTGGTGTCCCGCGTTGGCCGAGGAATGCTGCCTACTCGGGCGACCCTAGTTCTTCGTAACCGTGTACCCCTCATTTTTAGCAGCTTTTTCGTTCTTGCACCCCGCGCGGGTGTGCGTAAAGCGAATGTTCCTGAAACGACAACCAATAGAGTTCCTTCTTATATTTCGCGGCGTCGGGCTTGGCAGTACCAGCGAAGGATACTTTCGCCTTCGCCCGCGCGGGAGGACTCCGGGATTTGGAACTATCCTTATCACGTTTGTCGGTCCCCTGCTGAGCACGCCCACCGCGTTGCGCGCCGTAGGCTCCACCACTGGACACGAACGCTTCCTGCCCTGAACTATAGTTTTCGATGGCAGTGATGCGGTCCTTGTTGTCGTCCGCAGTACTTTGGAGCTGCCCGAGGCGAACAGAGCCGTATACGGTAGAGGCGGTAGTCGAGATGGGGGCAGGGGGCGAGCGCAGTTTATTGGACTCGTGGCTACGAGCACGCGCTTTCGACTCCATCAAAGAATCGGATGGATCTGCCCGCATCATCTCTACGCGAATGTGGGGGTGTACACCGTTTTCGAAAGCTGCAGTGAGAGCTTGGTTGAAAGCGTGTTCATGAGGTGGTACATTCAGCGGAGCTGTGCATTCAGCTTCGGCTACAAGTCTGGCATACGCGCGTGATACTCTGAGCGCAAACACGTCAACTGATTCGCTAGTCTTCGCTTCTAATGTCATGACATCACGTGCAAAAAGAGCAACTCGGTTGGCGGGAGCGAACGATGTGGTGAAAGCCGTGACCCATTCCTTCCATGGTTTCGGAGGTGTGATTCGGACTACTTCCCCACGTGCACGCAACGCATTTAGCTGAGCTGGCGGTCGCCATTCGAGACATGAGCTAAGCATGAGGCTGAGACTTTGAGCTGCTGCATCCCGCACGAAGAGCGCGACATGTTTGATTGCGCGGTGATCGATTGTGCTTTGAGAGACGTTGTCTGCAGACAACAGACCGATGTGTGCCCTGAAAAGTGCCATATTTTCGGGAACATCTTCGTGAGGCAGACCCTCGAGCTTGAGATCGGAGGTAGGTCAGTAACTTTTAAAGTACAGCGCGCCGTGCTAATCATGTCCTGGTTTACGGTGCTTTGGGTTACCGGGGTAGGGTTGTCCTGGTTTACCATTTGCTGATTTACCTGGTTCGGTGAGGCCTGGTTTACCGTGTTGTGGTGTACCGGGTTAATAGGTGAGATTGTCGGTGTAGACATATTCCTAGCAGGGGTCTGTTGAACACTTGCAGTCGTGTGCATGCCAGAGCGATTGTCTGCTTCTAGATCGGGGGCAAGCGAACGCGGATTCACCTTTTGGATGTCTAGCTGGTGAGCGGCTCCCGGCATAAGCATGCTAAGGACCCATGCCGGCGGGGCCTTCTCCGCCTCCACTGCCTTTGAGACCGCGCTGACGAGAACGGCCTCCAGCGGTCCGCCGCTTGACAGGAGCGGCGCACTCTGCTGACTGGCGGCGTCGGCGCGGTTCTGCAGGATGTCGTGCGCAAGGTCGTCGTCGACGTTGTCGTCATCGTCATCATCGTCGGCAGGGGGTGGGTCGGTGTCGAGGGTGCCCGCCTTGGCGCCGTCGCTAGCGCTGCTGTTGTTGTCGCTGTCGCGACCACCACCAACCAGTGCGTGAAAATACCCGCGATGGTGTCCGCTCTGCGAGGGTGCTACGCTCGCAGACGCACCGGCGGATTCTCCCGTTTGGGCAAGCTTCGGCTGTCCCTCTTGGGGCTTAGCCGAGCCATGGCTGGTGGTGGCAGTAGCGTCGGGACGCGGCGTTGCTGGCGGTTTGGGCGTCAGCTGCTTTAGCTTTTTCTGCTGTTGCTGCTGTTGTTGCGACCCTCCGTCCTTTTTCTCCCCTTGCTTCCTTGGATTGGAGCCCATGTTTCACATGTGGGATGCAAAGATAGAACGCTTCGTCGAACGCCAATATGGATGCCCTCTACTCTGGGTGAGCGGAGAGTCCGGGGATGTGGTGGCTATGTCCTGCAACCGGAGGTTGGCTATTTCCTTTGGTGCAATGTGGCGAGGAATGCCAAGCGTGACCGAGCGAACTCAGTCAAGCTAGGGTAGTGCGGAGAGTGGGCGAGCCTTCGTTGACTCCTCTTTCCATTCTCCTTTAGATCCATCAACTCTTCGCAGCCGTTGAGGGTCATAAGAGTTGGGGACCCTCGGAGAACAGTAATCTATTATCACATATTCCCTCAGATCCTACTCTTTATGTACGTGTATCTGTGCTCCCTGAATCTCCATATCCTGACCTCCACAAAAAAGAGAAAAAAAAAAGGAAACAGTAAGGAAAGAGAAAACAAAACGAAAAACAGCGAGGACAAAAAGGGACCAGGCCGAACATAACAAGAAACAAGAGACAGGAAAAGGCAACACGGTGGAGAGACCACTAACGAACAAGCCAACACGCACATGGCCACCAAGCAGCGATACATTGTAACGGTACGTCATCACTAGTGGGGGGTTGGTGCAATGGTGCAGCAGTGAGAACACGCGATTATCTCCGCAACGGTGTGGGCCCACATCGGTTCTAAAACTTACCCTCCTTGCGTACCGATGTCTTCATTCTGCCTCTATTCGCCCTGCCTATCAAATCGCCGCACCTATCCCACACATACTGGCCGCCCGCCCCACTGGGGGGCGGGGGGTCCATCGTTCCCTCTAGTAAATACAAACCGCGGAGTAGGGGTATTCGAGACCTCGCGTCAACAAACTTGGCTGCACCAGCAGCACGCTCGGACACAAACAAATACAGCATAGGGGGAGTCTTGGGGCGTGGACGAGGCGAAGGGGGTGGAAACCAAACGGCACATGTGTTCGCCGCAGTACTGCTTGACTGCTGCTGTATTAGTTGTTTACAATCAAGACACCTCGCCCCCCCGTTGTTGTTTTGTTGTTGTTTCTCACATTAGCTCTGTAGTCCACAAAAAATGGGGAGCCCCCGGCACATACGACGGCGCGGAGAAACAAAAAAAAAAAGGGTACAAACCACTCGGAAAAAGAAAACAAAATGATGGCAAGACAAGAACAGGTACCGCACCGACCGTTCGAGAGAAGAGCCCTCGGAAACCATCAAAATAAAATAAAAACAATAAGAAATGTCTTGTTGAGCCTGTTACCCACAGGGGAGATATCGTTGTATGCTGTCTGGGAAACCGTAGACATACAGGTAGCCTTTCGCTCACGCTATGGGTTCATTGCTAATCTCTCTATCTTAGACTTATTTCTATAGATTTAGAGATGGATTTGTTGTGTGATGTTAAGAAAATAAAAAAAATTAGAAAGGAGGACGCTTCCCACACCCACCTAAAGAAAAAATCAAAGGGTAACGTACCAGCACCAGGCACTACGCACCAGGGCATGGGAGTAACGGAGCAAACAGGACAAAGAGGCGGCAGATGGGCAGGCAGCCAGATGTACAATAACAATAACAAAAGCAACAGCAAAGGCGAGATCCAGGTACCCAACACAGCCAAAGTAGGCAGGGAGGTCATGAAAAAAAGGAACACAGCACAGAGGCCGAAGGCAATACGAAGGACATCCATAAAGGAGTATATATATATAGCAAGCATACAGCAGGGAGGGAACACAGGGCGCAACAACATCAGTCGGGTACATAGTTCGCCACAAGTGCTGCCTCGGCCGCCCTACTCGCTTCTACAGCAGTGCCCCGTCGCCGTTTCTTCCTCCCCACCGCCGCTTCCCCGACTCTCTTTCATTTCGGTCCTGAGATGGCCGTACTCTCTGCTTCTTCCCTCGCGCGCTGGCGCTTCGCGGACCCTTTCGCCTCCTGCCTGTACGTACGTCGCTGCGCGCCTCTGTGCCCTGCACTCTGATCTTCCCACTTCAACACAGGTACTGCCGTCTCACCTTTAGTACCCATCGGTCAACCTTCACCAACAGGTGGGACAATCCCCCTTCCCCCTCTTGTTCCTCCTACACTCGTCGGCGGGGAGCTTGGTAACCGGTAACCTGGTACATAACGTGGGTCGGTTAAGACGGTTGGCGGCAGGGCAAGACTGTGAGAACCGTCCAATAAAACAACGAGGTGCGTGCTCGATCGCGAAAGGGCATCCTGCGATGATTCTCTCTCTCGAAAGCCGGCGGGGGAGTAGAGGAGCTCTCTTCCAGAGCAGCTCAGCTAGCAAAGGGCAGCGGTGCCCGTGGGTAGCTCACGCTTTCGCCGACAGCAGCAAGCGTTCGTTTTCAATTGTCTCTGGTGCGAAGTGATGGCTACACCGCTTTGTGCAGAGTCGCCAGCCCCGCTGCCGAAGAAGCAGGAGCTGGTTATGCAATGTGAGCATGTGAGCGGGGCGCGATGCTCATGTTGATGTCGGGATCTCTCTTGGCCAAAGCTGTCTGGCGCAACCCTGAGAGTGCGCTCCAGCCAGCCGATCTGAGGGGCAGGTGCGGTGCGGAGTTGACTTCAGTAGAGGTCCCTGTTTAGCGCCGGGGTATGCACAGAAAATTCACCAGAATTCACCGGCACGACAGTATGAAACCCGGACACCGGCGCCGTGTGTAGACTATTGCGAAGAGTACCTGAATCGCAGCACTATTGACGAACTGTGCTTCGTATTTCAGGGTGCAGAGCTTACGCTTTGCGGGGCCAACAGAGCACTACATGAACCGTAAATGGTGAAGGTATGGCTTGGGTGGTGTGGGCAGACTTTTGTCACGATCGTGTGGATCCTACCGTTCGTGCCGATTACGGTATAAACGCTGCACACGAATATCGCAAATGATAGTGCTGCCGATGGAACAGTGCATCGATGTACGACAGGCGACGGGACAACCGCCAGCTCAAGATCCGAGTACTCCAGGCTGAAGTGGTGGAGACTCTCCTGTATGGGTGCGCCTCGTGGAGCCTAACAGCGGAGCACTACACGAAGCTCAATGGGACCCACCGCCAGTTACTTACACGGTGCATCGGCTGGAGCAAGCGGAAACGCTCAGACCGCCCCCTGTCCTATGCCCAGGCCCTCATCCAGGCAGGCTGCGAGGAAACCGTCAAGGCCACCGTGCGCAAACGGAGACTGTGTTTGGCGGGCTTTGTTATGCGCATGGAGGAGAGCCGCCTCCCCAAGGGCATGCTGTTAGGAGCGATGGCGGGGGGCGTGGAATACCGGGGCGGGCAGGAGAGCGACTGGGTGTCTCGTCTAGGAGAGGACCTCGTGGCCTTCAACATGGGAGACGAAAAGGAAGGGGGTAAATGGAAAGAGAGCGCCAAGGACCCGGAGATGTGGTACAACAAGGTCGAGGACGGGGCGGCATGGTTCATGAGGAAATGGCACAGGCAGGAGGCGGAAGCGTCCGCGAAGCGCCAGCGCGCGAGGGAAGCAGAAGCAGAGAGTACG